GCCCGACTCTTAAGCCTTTCTTCATTGATCGTGTTTTCTGTAACCCTCTCACCGCCCCCCCCCCCACCTCCCAGATTGTGCTTTTGGGCACCCTCCCACCCCCACTACCCTCCACCCATCCAGATTCCAAGCCCCAGTTCGGGTGCAAGCCCTTAATGATCCAGTGCCTTGGGATGACTTTCTGATATGAAAGGTACTATGTAAATGCAATATATTGTTGTTCTGCCAGCGTTGCAAGAAGGGCAGTGGAATGTGTGATAGGCGGTTGCAGATCAGGGCCTTGTAGAGCATTTCTGTCATGAATAATATCAATCCTTGCATTCAATACAGGTCTTGCAACATAGATACATCTTGGATAGTTTTTTGGTTGTTTACAAGGGTGGTGATAGTAAGATGGATCTTCTTAGTAATAATAAGGCTGTGTTCCGGAATGCCATGTCTGCAGACTTCAAACCATCCATCGGTTGGGAATTCTGTATTAATGGTAGTAATATAATAATCTTTGTGTTTGATATAGTGCTTCATCACTTTGTTGAGACATCTGAGCGCTTCACAGGATATACTGTAAAGTGCAGTGACTGTGTACTGCGTGGGCAAAAAGCGGCAGCCAGTTTGCGCACAGGAGTGTCCCACAAACAGTCGTGAAGTGATGACTTTATTTGGGGGATTGTCGGCCAGAACACAGGGAGAGAGAAACTCACTACGCTTTACCAATAGTGCCATGGGCTCTTTAACACCCACTCAGTTTAATGTGTCATCCGAAGGGCAGCGCCTCTGACAATGCAGCGCTGCGTTGGAAGTCAGCTTAAACTACGTGAATCTAAATCCCGACTGTGGGGCTTGAACCCATAACCTTCGAGAACCACAGAAATCAGTGCCAAGGCAGAGTCACATTTTTTCCTAAAAGTGTTTGCTCCTGAAGAAATTGTTCATCCTAAACCCAATTCTCTGTTTTCCCCCATTCCCTTTAATCCCCATCCTCTGCTTTTCCATTTTTTTTTCTTTTTTAAATGCCCGGGTCATCTCTTGGCCCCTGCGAAACCCTTTCTTCGCGAACCCCCCCACCCACACCCCCCCACCCCCGTGCCATGTCCTCTGGTGATCTTTTCAATTTTCCCCAGTATGAAAAAAGTAGGGAGTGATGCGAGCTGGCCACCAGGAGTGGCATGTGTGAGAAAGTGAGAGTAGGGTGTGAGTGTGTGGGTGATGCGTGGGTGGGTGGCGTGTGTGTTTGCGAGTCGCACATGTGTGAGTGAAGTGGCATGTATGTGAATCGTGCGTGTGTGTATCTGAGAGTGGTGTGTGCGTGAAAGAGTGGAGTGTTGCATGCGGGTGTGTGCATGTGTGCGCGTGTGTGTGAGAGAGTGGCATGTATGTGAGAGTGGTGTTTGTGTGGGGGAGAGGTGGAGGGGGGCTGGCGGGCGTTGTGAAGCAGAGTAAGGAGAAAGAGGCTGAAACGTGCTCAATAAAGCACTTTTAAAAAGTAGTGGAAATTCCTTTCTTGTGCCCATAGTTGTCTTTCAGTGAAATAGCTAAATCTTCCGAGCTTGAAGCTCCCAGTGTGAGGAGCTCAGGCAGCAGCTGAATTGGGATTTCCTCCCCCACCACAGCGCACACTCAGAGTTAGTGGGTTTCTCATTGTGAGCGCTGGGGACTGTGAGCTTGAAAAGTGTACACAAAACAAACTAATTATGCGAGTATTATTTGACGGCTTTTACACCTGCACTCGTTCCAGCCGCTGTGTGCTCCATGCACGGCTGTCATTGTCTTGTGCCTTCAGCCTTGGCACGCAGTGTTGCGTCTATTCAAAAGAGCATCTGTGTCCTGCCAGGAATGGCTCGCAGAGAGAGGCAGGGGGGAGAGAGAGAGAGAGAGAGAGAGAGAGGGAGGGAGGGAGGGAGAGAAAGAGGTCCGGACACTCTGAGAAACATCTTCCTATCACATGGCTCTTGGCCGTACTTGCTGCCTTCTGTAAGTTACGCTCGGGTTTGATTCAGAACCCACCTCATGCCGCTGAACTCTTCAGTCACTAATTGAACCCGACTGGAGCAACCGCTGCTTTTGCGTTGTGCTTTCTAATAATAATCCTCGCAATTGATATAGCGCCTTGTCATGTAAAGTGAATTGACTGTATTTTCTGGGCAAAACACCTTCCTAAAACCTCCCCATCCCTGTCCATCCAGCCCACAATGCCTGTGCCGCCTTTCTTCTTTTTTGTTTTCCGCGCACCCCCACCCCGCCCGCGCACACACTTGCGTACAGACGGTTGCAGCCTTTACTATTTTTTAAAAAATATTCAGAGCAGTCTTTGCATTTGATACAGCACCTCATCACGTTGTTGCAATATCTAAAACCACTTCGTAGGATTTAACTGTGAAGTGCAGTGACTGTGTATTTGTAGTCAAATGCAGCTGCCGTTTAATGCAAAGCAATGTCTCGCAAATAGCCATGAAGTGAGTGAACAATCTTATCTGGTGGATTGTTGGCCAGGATACTAGGAGTGACAAACTCCTTTCTGTTTTCCAAATCACCGTGGTATCTTTAACACCTGAACGGGCACAGGCGGGACCCGGGTTTAACATCTCAGTCTAACGCCACTCTCCTGCTCTGTCCCCCTCGCTCACACCCTTTAAATTCCCTCCACATCAAACCTCCACCCAAGTCTCTTTCACAAGCATTAACAGGCTCTGTGTTGCCTTCAGTTTGTGACCGAGACTCCCACATTCCCACAGAATGTCAAGAGACAGGGTTTTTCTAACCTCCCCTTTGATTCCAATTTGCCCTTGTGTGATCTCAGCAACAATCCATCGATCAGGTCGCCCCTCAAACTTCTCAGCTCCAGCGAAGTTTTAAATAGCAAGAAACAATAAAAACAGGTCGCTGTAAATGTGGCCTAGTTTCACATTAACCATAGGAAGTTGGCACAGAGCTCAGAGCTGAGGTGTTCTTGTTCTGCGGGTCCACATCAGCGTCTGCTCGTAGTACAGTGCTGTACATACACCTGCTTTCAAGCACACAGCTCTGTTTCTGTTCCCCCAATTATTCAGACAGTGACAACTGGCACAAAAGCGCTTTGCCCACAGTTGACCCTTTGATATACAGGACCAGATAATGGGCCGCGATTATACAGCACTGCTTTCTGTCAGAGGAAGGGAGGCGGGTGTGGGAAGTGGTGGTGCGGGGGTGGGTGTGGGATTGGAAAAAGAGAGAGAAAACCAGAGAGAGCTGTGTATTTTTGAGCTCTGACAAACTGAGAGGACTGGTTTTGAGAAAGTTTTAGTTTTGTGTCATTACTCTTGCTGGCTCAGGCCTTTACCCATGCAGCGATTGGGGCATCTTAACAAGAGCTAGAATAACAATTCGCCCACAAAATACACAGTCAATTCACTTTACAGTATATTCTGTGAAGCGCTTTGAGACATCTCGAAGACTTGATAAGGCGCTATATCAAATGCAAGGATTATTATTATATCAAGTGTAAATATTATTAATAACAATAACCTCACATTTAATTCCGTACTTCAAATGTTGAAACATCTTGTAGCGCTTTGTAACGGTTCTGTAAAGTGCAGTCACCGAGTATTTCGCAGGTGAACACAGCAGCCAGTTTGCACCCAGCATCGTCCCACTAACAACTATGGAATGAGTGACTAATTTAATCTGGAGGATTGTCGGCCAGGATGCTGGGAGGGAGAAACTCCCTTCTCTTTTCTAATAGCACCACAGGATCTTTAACGTCTACCTGAACGGGCACCCCCGGGGCCTCGGTTTGATAGCTCACCTAAAGGATGGAGCCTCTGATAAAGCTGTAGTCAGTCAGAACTGTGAACTCACAGCCTCTGTCGGGGAGCTTTACCTCACAACCCTTTGACTCAAAGGCGCGACTGAGCCAGGCTGACACATGAAGCGTAAGACTAGCAGGGATTTCCGGTAAGGGGGAGGGGGAGATAAGGGAGGAAGGTGGGGGTCAGTGAGATGGGGATGAAGCAGTCACAAAATAGTAATGTGTGCTGGTCTCTCACTCCCCGTCTGTGCCGGTATGAGAAAGAACAGCCGTTTGATTAATCATGAAAATGTCTAAGCAGCAGAAACGCTGAGTTTCATTGTCCACAACCCCCCCACCGTGTCCCCACTCTTTAAATCCACCTTTATTACATGAATAAGACCCCCACGTTTTACTTTTTGGGGTGTGGCACGGCATGCAGAGGGCCAGGTCTCTGTGGGCTTTATTCCTCATCTTGTGTTCTTGTCAGTAACAATGCGCGAGTGGAACTTGATTGAATTACACTGAGCCTTTTGCTGGGCATGTCCCATTATAGTCCTGACTCTGAGGGAGAAAGCAGACAATTGGTGTTAAAGACCGGGGGAAGGAAAGAGAGGAGCCTGTGTCGGGATCTCCACCTGTTTCCTTTGGATTCACAAGCTCATTGACTAACTTGCCGCAGACTGAGAGGCTGAGTTAAACTGGGTTCATTCCACAGCTGGGGGATTGGGTTTGTTCAACAGTTTATCACAGGCGCATGTTAAAGTTGATGAGCGAGAGAGAGAAAAGGAGGGGAGAGAGAGGGGCAGGGATCGTTAAGTGTGAAGTACAGATAGCCTTCGCTCCCTGCACCCCCTCCTACCAACGCTTCAGCCACCCCCAGCTCTCCATCCCCTTCTCACAATCCCTTCGATCCCTTTTCCACTGCCCCTTGCTCTATGAAGTGAATAACCAGTTTTTATTTGGGGGTGTTGTCAGCCCGGACACCGGGAGAGAGAAAATCCCTTCTCTTTTCCAATAGGAGGAAAAGATCATGTTAAGTTTTAAGTGTGGGGGGGGGGGGCTGCAAGGATGTGTGCCGAGTGCTCCAAGGCACTACCCTGTGTGAAATCCACCGCTGAGGGACACTGCTGTGCACAATTGACTGCCGCATTATGCCCATAAAAATACACAGTCAATACACTTTACAGCACATGCTGTGAAGCGCTTTGAGACGTCTCAATAAAGTGATAAGGCACTATGACAAATGCAAGGATTATCATTAAATAAATGAAAGTTTTTGCTGTTTTGCATTGAGGTTGAGAGGAGACCATTTTATTGGACGGGTGGACGGCTCCCTCCAGTGGAGATTATGAGTATTGCAAATGGAGGTGAGGGAGCAACGCTTGAATTTGTTGCAGGCTCTTTTCAATTCGAATTGGCTCAAAGTAGCTCGCCAGGAATTCCCATCAAGTGTAGTGACTGTGTAAGACCACTGAGGGGGGTCAGACACCTGTCTGCTTGCTGTCCAAATTTGAGCACAATTTTTCTTGTTTCATGTACGGTACATGTAGTTCACTGCTCGTGGGACACTGTTGTGTGCAATTGGCTGCCGTATTTTGCCCACAACATAGTCGATTCACTTTACAGTACATTCTGTGAAGCGCTTTGAGACGTCTCGAAAATGTGATGAGGCTCTAAATCAAATGCAACGATTATTATTATTGGGAACATAGGATTTGCTAATGATAAAAGACCAAGGTCCATCTACTTTACCTTCTACCATCCTGGTAGTCGCATGCTGCACTAATGTGCAGGCCGAGGGATCTTTAAAGTCCACCTGAAAAGGTACAGACAGAACCTCGATCTGATCCGAAGCTCTGCGCTGTGAGCTTAAAGTCCTCAAGTTGGGCTTCAACCCACCATATTGTGACCTCGAGGTGAGAGCGTACGTGGCTAAGGCAGGCTGACACCTCATGACACCTCATGGCTCAGTTGGTAGCTGTGTGACCATTAATTTTCTTATTTGAGGTATCAAAATGTTCTTATATTGGAAGAGGTTCATCAGCACCGACTGTGAGCTATTGATTGATGGATTGATTGATTGATTGGCAGGATCTTCCCAAATTCCCCGCTCAGTCTCTTGTGACGATGGATAGATCGAGTGGAGCGCTCCGGAAACGTCACCAGGTAGGAGAATATGCTAAGTGTGACTTAGCACCTGTGTGTGTGTGTGTGTGTGTGGGAGGGAGGGAGGGAGGGAACGTGAGGCTTGAACCCATGATATTCTGAATCAGAGGCCAGAGTGGGAGTGACTGAGCACGACACAAGGGATTGTTAGGTTTATAAAACAGAGAAATAGTCTTTGTGTGTGTTTTTTGCCTTTAGCACAACAGCCAGCCTGAAGGAGAGAGTGAAGAAAGCAAATGCCAGGCACAGTCCCAAACGGCAGCACCGGTGACTGACAAATACTGTCAAACTGAGCACCACCACCATGGCTGTTGTGAGCCAGGTATTTGTGATCTTCTTTCTCCCATTCCTGAGAAATTTTGTTCAAGGCCCTGCGCTTACAGTGACCAGTGCCTGTGTCATGGAGCAATATTTAGTTGAAAATTTGTTTTATTAACTGTCTATCTAATTATTGCTCCAGCTTATACCCAGGAGCCAGGAGACCCTCCTTTGTTGCAGCAACAACTACCGACCTCGAAATCCGGCATCCAGCAGATCATTGAGTGTTTCCGATCAGGTATGGAGAGGGGAGGTGTATCCGTCTGTCCTTCTTCTCTCCCGACACCAAATACTTTGAATCTTTCACTTGACACAGCGCCTTTCCCATCAGTGAACATCAATTAGTGAACATTCAGATAAACCCATGAATTTGCTGGAGTAGGTCCCCCAAAGTACAGCCCAACGGCGTCACTGCTCCATGTCAGTCAGCAAACATTCCACTATCCATGTGCTCCCGCCACCACCCCCCGTCACCCCTTCAAGGGAAGCCTGTGAGTGTCACACATTCTCCGTATGAACTTAGAGCAGACCCCAGATCTCCATATATCTGCGTAAGGGGACCCGAATTTGCTGGTGAGATATCATAAATGGGTTAAATGAACGAGAAGGCAAAATATAAGCGAGGGAAAAGGATAGATGGGAAAGGCTTGGGGGGGTAAGGGACTGAAAACATTGCTGGTTAAAGGAGCTAGTGCAGACACGAGCTGAATGGCTTTCCTCGGTGTAAATTTCTATGGTTCTATGGGGAGCGCAAAGTCTTGGGGAGGCGCGAAGTGGGGAAAGTCTTGGGGTGTGGAGGGTGGGGGAAGGCATGGGAATGGGACTGAATGGTGAGCTCTCTCTCGTGTGCACGCAGGAACCATGCAGCTGAAACACATTTTGCTGAGGGAGGTTGACACCATCTTTGAGTGCAAGCTTTGCCGCAGCCTCTTCAGAGGATTGCCCAATCTGATCACACACAAGGAGTTCTATTGCTTTCCCAGCCTGAAGATGGATCAGAGTAAGTTCAGCTATTTACTGATCGATCAGATCCTGGGCTGTGCACACATTTTGGTCTTTGACTGAATGTCTCGCTTTGTTTATCGATTGATTATATTGCGTAGAACTGCAGTGGGAACACTTACGGGCCATGGAGACTATTATTTGGACTGAGACAGTTTCCTGGTTTAAAAACTGGCCCCTACTTTCTGATAATGTTCACCCACAAAACACACAGTTACTGCACTTTACATTATATAGTTTGAAGTGCTTTGGGACATCCTATCAATGTCAAAGGCGCTGTAATAATAATCCTTGCATTTGGTATAGTGCCTTTCATGTCGGCAGGACATCCCACAGCGCTTTGCGGGATATACTGTGAAGTGTATGTGTAGTCAATCGTGGCAGCCCAATTGCATCCAGCAATGTCCCACAAACAGCCATGGAGTGCGTAACCAACTTTATTTGGTGAATTGTTGGCCAGGACACCGGGAGCGAGAAACTTCCTTCTCTTTTTGAATAGTATCATGGGATCTTTAACATCCACCTGAACAGGCAGATGGGACCTTGGTTTAAACATCTTATACGACAGATGGTACCTCCGATATTGCGACACCCCCCCAGCACCGCATTGCGGTATCAGCCTTAGACTAATTGAGATCATGTCCCAATGTGGGGCTGGAACCCACAATCTTTTGACTCGAGATGGGAGTGCTACTCCTCAGCCAGGCTGACACTCACAATGTGAGGATTATAATTGTATCGAACATCTGAAGAATATCCAGGCTGATCTCAGGATGGCAGGCTGGTCCCCAATAGAGATAGGATAGAAAAGTGATTTTTAACAGACGGCAACAAAAGGAGTTGACAATTGCATCCAGCAAGTTGATAGTGGACAACTTTTCCCTCTTGTAGAGGGACCCAAAGCAAGTGGACAGGACGAGAACTTCCAGGTGTTGTGGGACACACTGCTCTGGAAGGCATCAATGTGGATGCTTAAAAGGGAGCTGGATAGATACTTGGGAATTAAGGGATGTGGGAAATTTCCGGAAGTGGGATTGAAAGAACTGCCAAGGGTTAATAAACAGGTGGGAGCAGGCCGAGATGGTCTGAATGATCTGAATGGCTCATCCCATGATCCATTCTATATTTGTTCACACAGTCTTCCTCAATAACCTCCCGTGTGTTATTTCTGGCAATTGCAGCCTTGAGCGAGTTAAAAATAAGTCAAATAAATAGTTAAATAATTTATAGACATGAGTGTAAGTTTTTACTCAATTTTGTGGATAGGTGGAACCTATCACCATGCGTAATTGTATCCAAACCAATCTGAGATTTCCATTCATCCCACCTACACATGGAAATCCCAGAGATAGACCGTTGGAATGGAATGTGCACTCTCTCCCTGGAGGGTCACATCCTGCTTAACTAATCCTGGAAAGTATTAGGCGCAAGAGACTAGGTTTGGGGCAGGAGGGGAGCGATGAGTTGCCGGATGCATCCTTCGGATGAGATATTAAACGGAGGTTCCCATTTGTGCCTATTCAGGTGGATGTTAAAGATTCTGTGGCATAATTTAAAAAGAGAAGGGAGATTCTCGCTCACTGGCTCACAATCCCCCAGATTGTGAATGGCTATTCATAGGACGTCCTGATGTGAAACGTGCAATATTGAACACAAGAAGAATTGTAAAGAATAATGGCTGTGCGGTGTGCGTGGACAGAACTTGGTCGTACTCACACTGGCTGTTGCGTTAAGCTCGGTCACCACACTGAATGGCATTGGTTATTATTTGTGTGTTTCTCTGGCAGACATTGCGGAGGCCAAGGACAGGCCTGGCCAGAGCCTGCGGGAGCTGCTGGATGCCATTGCCCCGCCCCGGGTGGACCAGGAGTACACAGTCAAGCTGGAGCCCATCCTGAGCAATCGCAACGCTGTCTTCCAGCGAGTGACCAGGGCCCAGGAGACTGAGCTAGCAGCAACCGAGCCGCCCGGGCCAGGTCCAGGGCCTGAGGTGCCAGCTGGCGAGCAGGAGGCCACGGTGGTGGTGGAGATGGAGGATGAGGCGGGAGACGAGGCCCCACGGCTGCAGGAGGAGGTAGAAAGCGAGGAGGCCGGGCCGGAGCAGGTTGCTGCGGTTACCGCCCAGCACTTGCTCTGCTGCCTGTGCGGCAAGGCCTTTCCCAGCCGGCGAGGCGTCCGCAGGCACGTCCGCAAGGTGCATGGCAAGAGGATGGAGGAGCTCAAGGGCTACAATGAGGAGCGAGCGGCTGGGGAGGAGGCCAGAACCGAGGAAGAGGGCGGTGGAGGGGGCCAGCTTGCCAGTTGCCTGATCCTGACCCCAGGCCGCAGCTGCCCCGTTTGTCACAAGCTGTTTGCCACCAAGGCCAACGTGCGGCGCCACTTCGACGAGGTGCACCGCGGGCTGCGGAGAGACTCCATCACCCCCGACATCGCCACCAAACCCGGGCAGCCGCTGCAACTCAAGCTGCAGGCCCCAGGCCTTCAGTACAGCCTGGCCACCTGCAGGTGCCTCCTGTGCAAGCGCAAGTACAGCTCGCAGCTCGCCCTGCGCCGCCATCTCATCATCGTCCACAAGATCAGCCCGACTCCCCAGCCTGAGCTGAAAGCCAAGCTTGAGCCCGGCCTGACCCAAGTGGCCGACACCCCTACCCCATCCAAGCTGGAGCCTGAGGCCTGCGCCGCCCAGTCCGAACCTGTGGCCTCGGAGAGGAAGTCCGGCAGCAAGGTGAAGCAGGAGAGCCCGAAAGCGGCAGCTGTGGAAGCAACAGGACCAAAGGCCCGAAAGCCTAAGGGGTCAGCGGGCCTGGAGCTGAAGGAGGAGCCAGGGGCTGGAGTCAGAGCGAAGGCCAGGAAGCAGAAGCCGGGCCCGGAGCTAGGGGTTAAGGCCAGGAGGCTGAAGCTGGAGCCCGGGTCTGAGGTGGGTTCGAAGGCCAGGAAGCAGAAGGCCCCAGAGGGGAGGGAAGAGGCTGGGGGCGGAGGCTGGAGGGCCCGTCGCCCAAAGCTTTCCCTCGGCTTCGACTTCAAGCAGCTGTACTGCAAGCTGTGCAAGAGGCGCTTCACGTCACGGCAGAACCTGACCAAGCACATCGCGCTGCACACGGACGGCACCGGCCTGTACGTCAAATTCTTCCGCTGCCCGCTTTGCCCGTACGAGACCCGCCGCAAGCGCGATGTGTTCCGCCACGTGGCCGTGGTGCACAGCAAGAGCCCGCGCTACCTGGCCCGCATGAGCGCTGCGCTGGAGGCCCGGGCAGTGCACCGGCCCATCGAGAGCGTACTGGAGCGCACCGGCCGCCGCCCACGCTCCCCGCACAACCTCAAAACCCCCGTCACCGGCACCACCGAGGTCAGGCTCACTGACACCTTCTCGCTCCACAAGTGTGGCAAGTGCGGCAAGGCTTTTGCCAGGAAGAGCTCACTGGACCAGCACAGCCGGGCGCACGCCAAGGGGTCGGCCGAGGCCACCGCCAACAACAACACTGCCACCAGCAAAGTGACCCGCAGCCGCTCCCAGGCCTTGCTCATCGGTAAGAGCCACCTCCCTCCCCTCACCTCACAGACCCACCCACACACACCAACCTCTCCAACACACACTGATCCCCGCCCCGCACACTCACTGACCCCCCCGCCCTGCACACTCACTGACCCCCCGCCTCGCACACTCACTGATCCCCCCGCCCCGCATACTCACTGATCCCCCACCCCGCACAATCACTGAAACCCCCGCCCTGCACAATCACTGAAACCCCCGCACCGCACACTCACTGACCTGCACCGCACACTCACTGACCTGCCCCGCACACTCGCTGACCCCCCGCCCCACACACTACTGACCTGCCCCGAACATACCACTTCCAATACCCCGGCCCCGTCCACACACTGGATGCCCACATTGTCCTCTCCTGAATATTGAACTGTTTGACTGTTGCTTGCCGCCACCTCCCTCCGCACCTCCCCAGTCGGATCTGTGAAGCACTTTGAGGCGTTGTAACGTGAAAGAATCTGAGTAAATTATTATTTTTTTATAAAGCTGTGGAGGCGACTGCCAGGTCTAATCAATGAAGTTGCACGTTAGGGCATTCAACACCTCTTCTATACCACTTTTCTCCCCAGATTTGTCCAGGTGACGTGCCACAAGTAGGCTGAATGTGGGAACGGATATGGTTTCATCACTGAGCGAGTCCAATCTGCATCAAGCAGCCCAGGTGTGGTCAGGGGTCCATCACTGTCCATCTTTAATGCCAGAGGCAACATCGGTGCATGGATTTACGGGCTGAAGTGCCCAGAGGTGAAAGCCTGGCTTGGATTAGTTTAACTGGTGCCGATGAACGCTGAGGTTTGCTCCAACATGTTGGAGAAAGGGCTTGCGAGCAAGCGAGTGGACTGGACTGGAGTCACTTCAGACTGAGGTTACGAAAACTGTGCACAAAATACCAGAGCGAATGAAGTAGTGTATTTGACGGGGTGGGGCTGGGCATTGTTCAGATGATGGGGAGTAAAGGCATAGACTTGATAATTAGCCCCTCTACTGTAGCCAACACTAGACACAAACAGTTTTGTATTCTTTAATTCTTATAAAGGTATGGCGTCTTTTTCTTAAAGATCTTTCTAGGTCTATCTGGTGTGGTCATGTCTGTGTGTGTATGATGTGTCATTATGGTGTGTGTGTGTGTATGCATGGTGTGCCTGTATGGTGTGTAGGTTTGGGAAATGATGTCTGCGGACAAGTATGTTGTGCACACCGTGCGTGTGTGTATGACGTGTGTGTGTATAAATAACATTCACCTGGCTGCCTCCTCCCCCCCACAGCCCCATGCCTTCTTCATCACCCTCTCCTCCAACCATGGCTTCTACATGGCCTCCACCCTACATGCCTCTGCCCCCATCTCTCCCTCTTCCCTTTCCCCCACTCTCACCCATTGCTGGACGAAAGAAGACCAAGATCCATCCAGTTCGCCTTTCACCATCCTGGCAGTCGCATGCACATGTCATGTTCCAAACTATATACTGTATCCCAAGATATTATTTTATAACAGAAATCTATATAATTTTTTTTAAAAGAATCTGCAGATATGATATGACTGTGTATGTGTGTATGGTGTGTTGGTATATATCTGGTGTGTGTGTATGTGTGTGTGTTATATATCTGGTGTGTGTTTGTGTTGGTATATGTGTGTGAGTTGGTATATATGTGGTCTGTGTGTGTTGGTATATCATAGAATCATAGAATTATATACAGTACAGATATATTCGGCGCATCATGTCTGTGCCAGCTCTTTGAAAAGAACTATCCAAATCAATCCCACAGCCCTGCTCTCTCTCCATAGCTCTGCAAACTTATCCTCCCCAAATAATTATCTATTTCTCTCTTAAACAACAATAACAACAAGATTCCATTTATAGAGCGCCTTTCACGTCGGGAGGACGTCCCAAGGCGCTGGACAGTTGGGTCAGGACCCGAGCAGGGGGGAAATGGTCAGGGTGAGGGAGGGAAGGGAGGGAGCGAGGAGGGGGTAGAGAGTTGAGAGGGGAGCTGAAGGCTCGGTCAAAAAGAAAGGTCTTGAGACCGGCCTTGAAGGAGGAAAGGGAGGAGGCGGCGAAGGCACTGGGGGATGGAGTTCCAGAGCCTAGGGGCTGAGAGGCTGAAGGCCCGGCCACCGATGGTAGGGCGGTTGGGGCGGGGGATGTGGAGCAGACTGGAGCCAGAGGAATGGAGGGTACGGGCAGGTAGGTAGGGGGATAATAAGTCGGAGAGGTAGGAGGGAGCAAGGCCATGAATGGCCTTGTAGGTGAGGATGAGTATCTTGAATTTGATCCTCTGGGGGATGGGAAGCCAGTGGAGGCGAGCGAGGGTGGGAGTGATGTGGTTGCGAAGCAAAAGTTGTTATTGAATCGGCTTCCACCACCCTTTCAGGCAATGCATTCCAGATCTGAACAACTCGCTGTGTGAAAACATTTCTCCTCACCTCCCCTCTGTTTCTTTTAACAACTATTTTAAATCGGTGTCCCCGGGTCCCCGTGGATATAGTTTTTCCTTGTTCACCCTATCGAATCCTGTCATAATTTTGAAAACTTCTATTAAGTCTCCTCTTAACCTTCTCTGCTCCAAGGAGAATAATCCTTGCTTCTCTAGCCTCTCCTCATAACTGAAGTCCCTCATTCCTGGTACCATCCTGGTAAATCTCCTTGGCACGCTCTCCAATGCCTTGACATCCTTCCTAAAGTGTGGTGCCCAGAACTGAACACAGTACTCCAGCTGAGACCTAACCAGTGTTGTATAAAGGTTCATCATAACTTCCTGACTTTTGTATTCTATGTCCCAATTTATAAAGCCAAGTATCCTGTATACTCTTTAAGCAGTTGTATCTGCCTGTCCTGCCAAATTCAAAGATTTACTTATATGAACCTCCAGGTCTCCCTATTCCTTTAGCCCCTTTCACATTGTACCATCAGCTTACATTGCCTCTCCTCATTCTTTCCCAAAATGTATCACTTCTCATTTCTCCACATTAAACTCCATCTGCCACGTGTCTGCCCATTTTACCAGTCTCTCTATGTCCATTTGCAGTCTGTTACTATCTTCCTCACTGTTTACTACTTTTCCGAGCTTAGTATCATCTGCAAACTTGGAAATTGTACTCCAACCTATATCCAAGTCTAGGTCATTTATATAGATCAAAAACAGAAGTGGTCCCAATACTGACCCTGGGGGGACACCACTACACATTACACTCCAGTCAGAAATCAACCGTTCACCACCACACTCTGCTTTCTATCTCCCAGACAGTTCTGTATCCATGCTGCCACTGTAATACCATGGGTTTCTATTTTGCTTACAAGTCTTTTACGTGGCACTTTATCAAATGCCTTTTGAAAATCCATATAAACTACATCAACTGCACTACCTTCGTCCACCCTCTCCGTTACTTCATCAAAAAACTCTTATCAGGTTTGTTAGACGTGATTTGCCTTTAACAATATATGTGGTGTGTGTGTGTGTGTGTTGGTATATATGCCGTGTATGTTGGTATATATGTGGTGTGTGTGTCAGTGTATATGTGGAGTGTGTTGGTATATGTGTGTGTGTTCGTATACATGTGTGTGTTGGTATATCTGCCGTGTGTGTTGGTATATATGCAGTGAGTATGTGTTGGTATATATGTGGTGTGTGTGTTGGTATATATGCGGTGAGTGTGTCTGTATATATGTGGTGTGTGTGTTGGTGTATATGTGGTGTGTGTGTGTGCTGGTATATGTGTGATGTGTGTCGATGTATATGTGGTGCGTATATGTGGTGTGTGTTGGTATATATGTGGTGTGTGATAGTATGTATGTGGTGTGTGTTGCTATATATGTGGTGTGTGTTGGTATATATGCCGTGTTGGTATGTATGCAGTGAGTGTGTGTTGGTATATATGTGGTGTGTGTTGGTATATGCGGTGAGTGTGTTGGTATATGTGTGGTGTGTGTGTGTGTTGGTATATATGCGTTGAGTGTGTTGGTATATATGTGGTGTGTGTCGGTATATATGTGGTGAGTGTGTGTGTTGGTATATGTGTGATATGTGTGTTGGTGTATATGTGGTGTGTGTTGGTATATATGCAGTGAGGGTGTGTTGGTATATATGTGGTGTGTGTTGGTATATATGCGGTGAGTGTGTTGGTATATTTGTGGTGTGTATGTTGGTATATATGTGGTGTATGTTGGTATACATGCGGTGTGTTTGTGGTATCCGGAGCGGTCTTTCACATAAACTGCTTTATGTACATTATCAGAAGTGTTCCAAGACTTGATAAAAACATTTCTTTTTAAAAAAAAATGGAAGTGTGCGTTTTTATATACCAGTGGAACACTGCATATCCGCACGTCAACTATACACAGGTCCACATAACCAAACACTGTCTATCTGCTGGTCCACATATCTGCACACCGACTCTCAGTGTGTCCTATATTCATTACACACCCAGCAGATAAGCACCCTGGGACGCTACGCTGCGTGAAGGGTTATATAAATACACATTGTTGTAGTTGTTATCCACACGCTGACAATCTACAGGTCTGTAACTATTTGCAGCTCTGTATCTATCTTGCTGTCTGAAACTGGATGCACCTGTATTTTGCTCTGCATCTATCTTCCTCTGTATCTCTATTCCTCTGTCTGCATCTATTGCTCTGTATCTCTCTTTACTTCCATTTCTCTCTATATACCTCTGTCTCTGTATCTCTTTGAATATGTGCAACTCTATCTTTGTATTTATAATCTATTGCTGGAAAAATATCTATCTCTTAAATCTAATAATAATAATCCTTTCATTTGATATAGAGACTTATCATGTATTTGAGATATTTCAAAGCACTTCACAGAATATGCTGTAAAGTGAATTGACTGCATATTTTATGGGCAAAAAAAATCTCTCTATATCTCACCTCTCTGTATCTCTTATTATTATTTATCTGTCTCTGTATCTCTGTTTATCATTTCTATCTCTCTATATCTCTACATTCACTGTATCTGTCGAGATCGCTCTCTGCTTCTTTCTCCTCCTCTAACTGTTTGTATCTCGCTCCCTATCACTCTCTCTCTCTGTCACAATCTCTTTTGCTGTCACTCTGTTTCTGTCACTCTTTCTGTCTGTCTCTCTGTGTCACTCTCTCTGCCTCTATCTCTCTCTGTGTGTCACTCTCTGTATCTCTGTGTCACTCTCTTATCTCTGTCACTCTCTACTTTCTATCTGACTCTCTCTGTATCCCTCTCTGATTCTCTCTGACACTCTTATCTCTCGCTCTATCTCTCTGTCACTCTCTGTCTCTCTCACACTCTCTCTATCTCTCTCACCCTCTCTCTAGCTCTCTCTCACACATTCTCTCTATCTCACCCTTTCTGTCTCTAGCTCACACACACTCTTACATACTCGCTCTATCTCTCTCTCACACACACTCTCACACACTATCTCTCACTCTTTCTCTCACACTATCTCTCTCACCCTCTCTGATACTCTCTCTCACCTCTCTCTATCTCTCACACTCACTCTAATACTTTCTCTATCTCTCTCACCCTCTCTATCTCACTCTCTCACCTTCTCTCTCACACTCTCTATATCTCTCTAACCCTCTCTCTATCTATCTCACCCTCTCTCTATCTCTCTCTCACACTCACTCTATCTCTCTCACACACTCTCTCTCTCACACTATCTCTGTCTCTCTCTCTAGCTCTCTCACACATTCTATCTCTCTCACCCTTTCTGTCTCCAGCTCTCTCACACTCTCTTACACACTCGCGCTCTCTCTCTCTCACAATATCTCACTCACACTCTATCTTTCTCACACTCTCACCCTCTCTCACTTTCTCTCTCTCACCCTCTCTCTCATACAATCTATCTCTTTCTCTCTCACACACTCTATCTCTTTCTCTCTCACACACTCTATCTCTTTCTCTCTCACTCTCTCTCTCTCTCTCACACACACTATCTCTTTCTCTCTCACACTCTCATACTCTCTCTCACACACTCTCTCTCTCTCTCACACTCTCTCTCTCTCTCACACTCTCTCTCTCTCACACACTCTCTCTCTCTTCTCTCACACTCTCTCTCTCTCACACTCT